CAAATTTATAAAATATTTAAACTTGATAGTGGAAAATGCAGCAGAGAATTACATGCATTACTTGTCCTCTAGTTTGCCAGTGATATGCTATCTGCACAAAAGTGAGCTTTTTGAGAGAGATGTTTCCCACATTGGAAAACTGCTAGGATCTTTGGATATGCAGTCCAGCATAATGGTGTATTGGCCTCTGGGTAATAGAAAGTATAGCGCTGAATATAGGGACAGTTTTTTTAAGGTAAAAAAGATACGCCTTTTTTTTTTTTGTTATGACCAAATAGGAAGGAAAATTATTTTAGTCACACTTTGTAACTTGGAATGGGAGATTAGTTAATGAGTAACTGGAAAGAATCAGAAATTAAAAATATGGAACTTCTGTCTTCTTACTCCTTATAATTTGAAGTTTAAAGTATAAAAATATTTCCTTTTTTAGCTAATGCTTTTCCTCAAGTGGACAATACATTTCTGTAATTGTAGACTGTTTGGGTATTTGACAAAGACCATGTCTGTATATGCATTTGGACTGTGCCCTATGGTTCTTAACTGTTGTAACCCAGGTGGCAGCCCAGTAGTTGCAACCTCTGCCCAAACATCAGGGATGGTGTGGTGAGAGTGGGGCAGGGCTTCCGTCCAGCACCCATTTACTTTCCAGCTGGCCTCTGCTCCCCACAGATCAGCCCATGGTCCCAAGAAGGTCTAACACTTAACTGATTTAACTATTTACACTTTATTTACAAAACAAGAATAAAAGTAAAGGTTATTTACAAGTAAACTTAAATGGCAAAACAAACCAGAATGCATTAGTCAACCCTTGACTCAAGAACCACAGGTAGGGTAACTGGCAACTTCCAGCCACTGCTGAGATGCTACAGCAAGGAAGCAGGGTGCTCACTTCCAGCAGCTCCAACAGGCTTCCAAATAAGCAATGGACTGCAACAGTGTAAGCTCTTCTGGTCTGCAGCAATCAAACTGGATCCAACCCCCCAAAGAGGCTGAAGGGCAACCCCCCAAAGAGGCTGAAGGGCAACCCTCCATGGCAACCAAAAAGGCAACCAACAAACAACAGAGTAGGCTCCTGCAACAACCAGCATGACCCAAGCACAAAGCTCGGGGACTCCATCCGATGACAGTCAGCTGCAGAATAATGGACAGGACTGAGTCCCCTCTGGGGCAGTCAGTGGCAGAGGGTCAGCAGTACAGGCAGCTCCCAGGGGTTGCTGCTCTAAACCCCTGCTCCAGCTGACTGGCTGGGTGTCCCACATGCCTTGTGGCTTGCCAGTCCCGCTCTGAGCACCGGCCTGCGCCCCAGTCTCCTGGGGACCCTTGTCCTGGTGCTCTGCCACTCCTCAGGATCCCAGTGCCTTGCTTGCTGCTGTTCCACTTCCCCAGGGAACGTAAGGGGTTTCCTCAACTCACCGGCCCAGCTCCCTGCTCCAGATGAGGATGCCGCCTATGCTCCTGGCTGCTGCTGCTTCTCCGCAGTGGAGTGGGGGGCCGACTGCCACCCCTAGCCTCCGGGATGCCTGACACATCCAGCATGCTGTGATGGGGCCTTGGAGCACCAGCTCTCTGCCCCCAGCCTGGCCGCGGATCCCTTTCTGCTGCAGGGCTGGAGGCATGGCCGACTGCCTCTGCCTTTTTTTCTCAGGACCTTGGAGACTCTTCAGAGGGGTCTCTCTGCTGGGTCAGCTCACCCCAGCTCCTTGTAGGCCTCCTGCATCATTCCCCAGAGTCACTGTCAGCAGCCCCCACACGCCAGTTTGGCTGCTGCTTTTATCCCCTCAGGCAATCCCTCCCTGGCTTGCAAACTGGCCAACCAGTGCTCAGGGTGGCTGGCCCACAACCCCGGCCATCCCCCTTCCCTTTTGACTGGCTTCTCTTTTTCCACAGGGCAGGGCTCCCCTGCTCCACCCTTGGGGTCTGTCAGAGTTCACTGGCACTGTTTCTAGCCCAGGATAATTTTCTCAAGCCAGTCTGGTGAGTCCACATTAAAATAGTGGAACAGACTGCCAGACTCAAGGTGCCCCTTGATAACTTTTCTGCATTTAGTAGTGCTTCAGTTGAGAACCACTGTGACCAAGGAAAAGTAAATGGTATTGCTCTTTTTTTAGTAGTCTAGATGTCAAATTAATTGAGTCTCTGATATGGTTCAGGCCTGCTTCTCTTGGCTAGAAGAGCAGCTGACACCATGCTGGCAGGAACAGTCCTAGTCAGAGATGCCAGCACTGCAAGCAGGGCCTGAAGTGGCAACCACAGGATCCCACCTCCTTAGGGTTGTTTCCTGAAATCCTCTTAACTTTGGGACCTGTCTGTGGAGTGCATGCATTCCTCATATTTTGCAACTGGCAATGCTGTGCAAGGCAGAGGGCATTTGCTAGGCTTCTGCTTCCTACTTCATGTGCCTCAGCACAGTGAGGTCACCAATTTCATATCTGCCTTCTGAGCGATGCACATTCATGTTCACTCCCCACTTTGAAAGGGGCAGTGCTGCCACTGGCTCTGTCCTGCCTCAGTTGTTTCCTGGTCTGCCTGTGAATACAGCTTGTAGAAGTAGATACACTTGAAGAGTTTTTGCAGCATTTTGGAGTACCACATCACCCCATTTAAGAACGACTGGCCTAATTCAATTTAGCCCCAATCCTGCCTGGTCCTAGGTGCTTCTATTGCATCAATATGTGATTATTGTAAGGTAGTATAAATAGTATAGTAATTATAGTAAGGTAAGTCAACACCCAATTATATTAATTTAGGCTATGAACAAAGATCATTTGATTGGCTTAATACTATTTAAAAAAAGTTGTACTCTAAAATGTTTGGATACTTTAAAATATGCTCTTTTAAAAAAAATGACTAACCTTTTAATTTGTTCCCCAGTGAAGAGTTTACTATAAGAAAATCTAGTGCAGGGTGCTGAAGAGCTCTCTGTCATAAAATCATAGAAATTAAGGGCTGAAAGGGACCTTTTGCCACTGGGAAGTAACCCAGAAATAGAAGGTTTCTTAGATTTGAAGAAATCACTACTTGGCAGGGAAGAGGTAACTGTGAATTGCAGCCAACAGGTTGTATCTATAGGAGGTACAGAATTTTACAGAATGCCAAGTCATTGATTTTTCCATCCCACCTTGACTTTGGAAGGGCACCTTGATTTGTGCTTTTCCAGATATCCTGTCAGGGTACAGCAAAGAATTTCTGTCGCTTTTGTATGTAGGCAGCTGATGATTATGGTTTAGTAAAATATTCTTATAGTAGAATAAAGTCATTAAAATGTTTGTGAAACTTGACTGATTTTGATGCTGTGTTGTATTCTCTTGTTTTCGGGAATATGAAATATTTATCTTGATGTAGTTTGCCCTGCATTAAAATGTTAAGTCTCTTCCTTGTTTGCTGCTTATTTATTTTTGTCTTTTCCTACCTTCTATCAAATAAAGGCCAAGAAACACCAGTCCTTCCTAACAGAGACATGTGAAAACAACCTAAGAGAGCTCAAGTTACTGTTGGACAGCTTTACCATGTCAAGCCAGCGGACAGCAGGTTAGTTGAAGGTATAAAATGACAGATGCATCTGTCAGTGTTCCAAAGTCACTACATTGTGGGAATTCTGCAGATGCCTCTTGCATTCCCCCTTCTCAACATGGTTTGATTTGATGACATGATAAGAGCAGTTCTCACAGCAGTCAAGTGGCCTTGCTAGCTGAGAAAGGGTGATGGAATGTGGACCTGCTGTTGTCAGCCCAGAACTTGATTTACAAATGCTAGGATCTATATGATCGGTCAGGAAAGGGCTCACTTGCTGTGTTCTAAATCCAACTGAGAAAAAAGTCCTTACAGTATACCTGCAAAGGGAACATCTGTTTTGACTGAACTGAGCCAAATTCTGAGGCAACCTTCAGCAACTTAAAGGTCACATAATCAAAGAAAGGGTTATGTAGGACACAGGATGTAACACAATATTTTTTTAAAATTATTTTGTGGTCAGCTGCTTTGCTTTCATTTAAACTGAAACAACACAATATCACTCCGAGTGTATGAAAATAATTATAAGTTGTTTGTCGTCACTTTACATTATGTGTTTGATAGTGTTATTAGTCAGTGTTGTATTTAGCACAATGAACTGCTCTGCAATCAAACTTCTAGCATAAGCATGAAAGGTATTAACAAATGCTATGAACTGGAAAACTAGGCATTTTATTTTTTTAAAAGTGTAAAATAGTTATCCACTTTTACATTACACTTTTTAATATTTTAAAATTATGTTTCCCCTTAGTGGTTGCAGAGTACCTAGATGAGGGAAACAGTGCTTTGCAAAAAGTGTTTTCAAGCATACAGAATAAATATCCATCCTTCCTCTCTAATCTTTCCTGTAATAATCTTTAGGAATAATTGTTTTGGAATAAATACGAGGCAAAACACTTTCAGAAATGTATTTGCTTTTTAAGGAGACATTTTTATTTTAATCCAAAATGTGATGACACCTATTGATTTTTTTTTTTTTTACTTTTCACTCTGTTTTGTGAAGAGCAGGCAGATAGTACCGTACAATATAGAAATCTTTGTGTAGGTAGGGCTGAATAAAAGAGCTTTAGCCTCTGGTTATTTCTTGGGACGCTTGTTTTCTGTAAAAGCCTGGCATCTTTTCAAATTGTGATACTATAACCACTTCATTTGCATCTGAGGCAAATAAATTCTCACAGGGAGTTTCCAGGTACACAGAGGGACCAGTGGCACTTGTATACTGACAGTGTCAACATTAAGTCTTATGGGTTTCCCCTTGAGTTTACTGGGTTTTAATGCCGCTTGGAACAACTCTGCTGTCTCCTCTCAAACCTACAGAACCCCACATGCACAAAGAGCTTTTGCAGAGCTAGGGGAATGGGGATGCTGCTAAAATATGGTTGCAAATCATCTTATAGTTACTTGAACATGTTTTCTATTCTCATTCTCTTGGTGATAAGTGTCACAAGAAGTGATCTTATCCTGTGTTTCCATCTCAGTGGGGAGTCAGTGGTTGTGTTAGTTTGCTGTGTGTTTTAAAAGCACCCTAAAAAGACCTCTATAGATGAAATTCCATGACTTCAAAAATGGCTCTAAAGGCTAATTTCTCAGCAGATATAGTTTGATTTGCTGCTGCAGTATGTCCTCATGGCTAATGGTAAAACCTCACAAACATTTATTAAAACGGTTTATCCTTCAGGTGCACTGCATTCTTCGAGTGAGCACAATGTATTATTTTCATTAATATTTTCCACTCAAAGTTCTTATTGTCTTTCTTATCTGTGTTTGTATAGTATTGCTATTTGTATTAATTCTTTCATTTACACACAGACCTGGTGTTGCTCATGATATGGCCTTATGATATTTTTATTGTAGAAGAATCCAGGGCTGACAAAAAGTTTTTAATACCTCTCTATGGTCTAATGAAGTAACAGACTAGTAAGAGGACAGTTAGCACGATGTGACTAGCTAGCTCTCCACGAAAAACAAAACAAATCAAAACAGTAAATACTCCATGAATCACTTGCTGATTTTTTATCAATGAGCAGGGAAAAACTAAATCCTAAAGGACTGAGGCTAGGCATAGTTTCACCAGACATTCCTGATGGTCACTTTTTATAACAAGGAAGGGAAAAAATGCAGCCTAATCATTTGGTTACAAAAAAACTTCCATGAATCTTTTCTCAAGAAGTATACATCCAGGAGGGACTTTGTTTCTTTTTGGTGTTTTTCCCCCCATATTTCTTCACCAGCTGTTTCTGTGTAGGAAGAAAATTGTGGCTGTAGTACGTTCTTTCTATTTTAAAGATGACCCATGAAGGTAAAAAAAGTGTCTTTTCTGTCTGCCTGTGTTGTAAAAAGAAAGGGCTGAAGGATCTTTTAAAGGGTATTTTATTTTTCCATATTTTAACATTTAGAAATATTAAATCTTCAGTGCTCTCTTTCTGTTGGTAGACTCACAGTTCTGGAATTCAGGCATAATTGGAGACTGGATTCAAAGCAGAGAGCAAAAACTTGATTTTGCCTTGTTTTTGTGGGAAGGTTTTATAGTTTATAATTATATTAGTAGAATTTTGACTTGCAGGCAGTCTTACTCCAGTGGCTTTTTTCGGTTTACCTTAAAATCCCTTCCCAAGTGACACAGCTATACTGGTTTAAATGTGATATTGGCATAACTTTCCTGTGGAGATAGTGCCTTGTTTAAGCTATTTTTAAAACACTTCACATGTTTTGTCTTGGTATTTTAACATCTAATTAACTCAAACCTGACATCCAGTTGAAAGAAATGCTCTTTGAAAGATTAACAGTCTTGCTTTTTCACTTAAGCACTGAAAGGTCTTTCGATTTCTTTGTGTTATTCAAGGGAGACTTATGGTAAAAGAAAAGAGGACTTTGCATTTCTGATATTTCTCAGGGATAAGACCAAAAGGAAAGGAACACACAAAACAGTATTTTCAGCCTTTTTTAGAACATCAAGGAAACAAACGCATATTTTTGCTTCTTTTAAGACCACCTTTAAAGCCTGGAAATTTAGCTGATGCTCCTTCTGTCATTCATCTTGTTGTACCTATTGGATTGTATGTCTGATACCTGTGGCCCTTTGTATTCTGTGCTTCCACAACCACACAACTTGGTAGTTTGTTCAAGAACATTTATCTTTTTGTTTTAAAAATGTTTCTAGCACACGTGGTCACAGAGAGAAACTTGAAAGTGGGAAACAAGTATACATTGATGGAATGTTGCCTGCCTGAGTCAACAGAGTGCCTGTAGAAACTGTAGCTTAAAGAGAGATCATCTGACCCATTTATTTCCACTAGATATCTGTAGAATGTGTCATTTTTTCCTAAATGACAGTGAAGGCACTACCTCTGTCATGAAATACACCAGTTTGTTGCAGGCAGGCTTCTAACAAGTTTTGTTTTGTCTTGTTGCCCAAGAGGGATCTTCCTGCTCAGTTCCTGCACTGTTCAGTGTCACCAGATATCTGTGGGTGAGAACTAGAGCCACAGTTTAGCTTGCAGTTGGAAGTTAGGGGGAGTTAAGTTTGTAGGCAGGAAGGCTGGATTGCGTAGAACAGGGGTTTTCAACTTCTTTTAAAAAAGTGTACCCTTTCTGACTCAGTTTCAACTCCTGTACACACTTATATTTTTTCTTGTTTTAAGGGTGGGGGCAGATTGAGGCCTCCACAGTGAGGGAGGGAGTGGGGCTGGGGCATGCGCTGCACAGCCAGGGTGGGGCAGGTGCAGGATGGAGCAGTGAGTGGCTTGTCCATGAGGGGATGGCAGCCCCCTGCTGCACACACCCCAGGAGGGCATGGGGGGTGCCCTCAGATCTGCAGGTGGGGCAGGCTGGGGCTGCGGCAGCACCAGGTTCTTCCCGGCAGGGGGACGGGCCAGGTCTGGCTGCACTCGGGGCAGGCAGTGGCAGCATTGGGAGTAGGGCTACAGCTGTGGCTGCAGCCACTCTAGAATTTGCTGTAGCTCCCTCAACCCACCTCTGTGTCACTGCCGCCTGGCCTGAGCACAGCTCAGCCCAGCCGCCCCCACCAGGAAGAGCCTGGCACAGCCCCAGCCCCAGCCCTGGCTTGCAGCAGCAGCCCCTGCAGATCCAGTGGCATGCACCTCCCATGCCCTCCTGAGGTGCTGGGAGGGGGTGCCAAATGGGATGGGGGGTCTCGCATGCAGTAGCCATAGTCACCATCACTGCCACTCACTGCACTGCTACGGTGCTTGCGCCACATTCCCATGGTTGGTCGCACGTGCGACTCCATGGTCTGCTGACTGGCCACATGCCCAGCTAATTGTGTGCCATCCATCAGCAGCCTGTGGAGCTGTATGTGTGACCCTCCGTGAGAAAGTGGCACAGGTGTGGCAGTGCAGGGTGGTGGGTGGCGATGACAATAGCAGCCGCTGTGTGCAAGCCCCACAGTCTGGCCAGCTGGGCAGTGCCTGTGTGGCCTGCAGAGGGGTGCCACTGCCCTCACCCTCCCTGGCCCTGCTTCTGGGAGCAGGCATAGAAACACACTTCCCTGCACCCACCCCCAACCATTCAGACCCTCATTGCTCTCCAGGAAGGAGATGGAGGAGAGTGAGCTGAGGTTGGGGGGAGGTGTTGTGTGGGGCCGGCAGCTCCGAGCATGCGTGCTCCTCCCCCTCCCCTGGGTAAGAGGCGAACTGTGCTAATGTGCCGGGGGAGACGCCACTGCCACACCCCAGGGTGCACTCCATCTCTGCCTGCCCGCACGTACACCCTATGGCCTTTCTAGGTACCCCTGGGGGTATGCATAGCCCTGGTTGACAACCCCTGGCCTAGAAAATGGTGCAGGTGCCAGGGTCAGAGAAGACAAGAAAACAAGTTGGCTGGCTACTGACTGCCTCTTCTAAAGCACTCATGGTGGGGGTGGGAGGTTCAGAGATGGGCTTCTTGGGTTACATTGCACAATTTAAGGCTGGGGGAGTAGGGGTGGAGCTCTCTGGAGAACTTGGCAAAAAAATAATCTATCTCAAAGTAATTATTGTCTAAAGATAGTGTTTTCATCTCTGATCCATAATAGTGTCTGCGTTCTTGTAGAAGTGGGAGGGAATAAAATGACAGGTACTTCATGTCTATACAATAAATTAACATTACTTCAAACTATAGTGGATTCTGGAATTTAGAAAAAGTCTATGGTGGAACTTCTTATACTACCTGTAACTTCCTCTAGTACTGTTGTGTTGTCTGTCTTAAGGGTGGAATCTCTCTTAAATTAAAAAAAAAATTGGACTTGGAAGGTATGATTTTACCAGCCTTGCTTACATTGAGTTAATAGATTACAGTGCAACAGATTTGGTTTAGAACAGGGACAGGCAATTATTTTGGGCGGAGGGCTGCTTACTGAGTTTTGGCAAGCCATCGAGGGCATCATGACAGGCAGCCATGGGCAGATGAATATAAATTTTCTAAATTTTTTAGGGGCCCTGCAGGGCAGATAGAATGGTCCGGTGGGCCGCATCCCGCCCGTGGGCTGCATTTTGCCCACCCCTGGTCTAGGAGGTCTGTTTTTTTTATTCTTTGTTTTTCCACTGATTTTCTGTGAGACTGATTTTCACTTTACCTCTCTGCTTCTCCATCTGCCTTGGTTGTTCAACTTAAATGCCACTTCAGATTGCTTCTGTATCCTAAAACAGGCATGCTCAATTCCCAGCCTGAGGGCCAGATCCAACTCCCAGAGCCATGTCATGTGTCCTGTAGGGCTCCCTACAGGTTAAAAACTTGGTGGTTGGGGAGCGGCAGCCACTCCACTGATACCAAATTTCCATGGGGAGACTTGCAGGCTGCATGTTATGGCCCTGCAAGCTAGATTGGGTGTCTAGGGCAGTGTGGGTCTTGATCCTGGCATGCAGGGCCAGGTGTGCAGGATACTGCAGGGACTGCGCCAGGCACGCGGGGCCTGATCCAGCCTGCATACCAGCCCTGTGCCACTCATCTGGCCCACAGGGCCAAAAAGTTGAGTACTACTCTCCTAAAATAATGGGATTGTCCGTTCATTTGGGGACTTTGAATGTCATGGTAATAGAAATATTTGTCAGCAAGAATGACGTGTCTGTCATGGCTATTTTTAGTGTGCGTGCATGTATGTGTATGCATTTGCATGTGTTTTAAATGTTGAAGAAGAGAACATGAATGAAGTAGAATGTGGCAGTGGTAATGTGAGAGCCGGTTGGGTCTGCCTTTTGAATATGCATGCACAGTTCGTATTGAATTCACTGGAAACTTTTGTGAGTCTAGACTGATGGAATTCTCTTCAACTTGAGGAAGCAAAGGGGAGAACACTTTGCTCTGTAGACCCTAATGCCAATCAGTGTTTGTTTTCCTGAAAAGTGATTTTTCTTTTCTTTTTTTCTTTTTATGGTTTTAAAAAAAATTAGCTAAGGAATAAAAATGAAAAGTTAGCATGTTCAAGACTGCAGTTCTACTTTGCAGTCATGTATTGTACTTCCTCAAGTGATCAAAAGGGCTGGAGGCAGAGGGAGTAGTTAATTTGAAACTGACACCTTAAGTGGTTATGGGCAGTATTTTCTGGCTTTACAAGCAAGCTTGAGGTTTCCATTGACTATAGTTGGTACCCCATGTAGCCAAAGCCACAATATGTAATGTTTTACAGTTGGTTTAAGTAATTCTTACCCTTCCATTTTTTAGAAAAAAAACTGAACTAATGTTTTTAAATAATCAGATGGAAGTTTAGATAGGGTGCACTTGCGAATATAATTTTAGGGAAATGTGTCTGTTCAGTGGAAAGGTTTAGAGTTCAAGGCCTGGTCTGTATAGCTTGCTTCTCTCCTCCCTCTCCCTCTCTCTGTCTTTCCCTCTCGCTCTCCCTCTTCCATACACACACGTATAGAATTTCAATCAAAGATTTCAGTATAGGAAATCAAGCTATGCAGACCATGCCTTGAACTCTAAACCTTTTCATTTGAATATATATCACTGGGTTATAACTCCCCCTGTAGTCTAGGGCAAGGGTAGGCAACCCCTGGTACGGGTGTCAGACTGTGGCATGCGAAGGCATTTTGCTTGGCGTGTGCATCTCAGGGTGGATGGCAGGGAAGGGACTGGGGCTGCACTGCCACAACAAGGATTGATTGGGCCCCTTGCGGCTCCCCTACTGTCTGCCCCTGGCACACCAACTACTTACAACATCACACAATGTTTTTGGCATTCTGCCCAAAAACATTGCCAACACCTGGTCTAGGGACTAGAGGTGTTTATCATCTCTGAGAAATCCGTCCCTTTTAACTTTTTCCCCCTCTTTCTCCTTTTGTAAATCAAGGGTACTAATGGGATTGTTGAGGGCTAATTCATGATTTATATAATAATATTGCTGATATTATATAATATACTTATCAGTATAGTTTTATAGGTGTCAAGGTGAAAAAGTGTTTGGTGTAAATTACTAGTTACTTTGTATAATATCAGAAAGAATGGTAGGGAGAAGAGGAATTTAATATCATCTGGCAACTTGCGTTCTTGATCCATATATAATTGTTTTTCCTTTCTTAGCTCACTGAGTACTTTGAAGGCAAAAGTACTCCTTTTGTTCATATGACCCCAGTTAAGACCACTAGATCAGAAGCTGTAGTCTAAGGGTTTAATAAATAAGCATGGTGTATATCTAATGGATATATCATTCTTAACATTTATAATTGAAACATTATGTAGGACTGTGCAGACAGATGATAAAAAATTGTATTGTTTCCTTTGGATTGAAATTCAAGAGCATTTAAAGAGTTAAGACCTTTCCAAGCATAACAATGTCATGTGATCTTTGGCTCAGAAAGGTTAAGAATAAATGAAGTACTATATTACAAAATGAATGCTTGGTCAGAAGACAACAAAATAATGTCAGGAAAGTGTAATCTACTTAACTTTCAACAAAATGTTTTGTAAAGTGTATTACTATGCAGTTTAAATGGTGGATGATTTGACTGAATGATACATAAGCTTACTGGTCACTAGACATTTTACAGAAAGTTGGATACTGAGGTCATTAGGTGGAAAATGTAAACTGGAGTTTGCAGCTCTGGTACATTTCCTTTAGCTATGAAGAAAGTATAGATGTAGAGTTGTATGCCACAGGGAGAAGACGACTGCTGTTCAGTGTTCTGTTTTGTCACTATAGCCCTAAATAATTTTAATAACTATTCCTGTTTGCGTAGTCTGCTTCCGTGACTTTCAGGGCTTTATTTTCATTCTGTGTTTTTCTTCAGGCACTTGCAAGGACAAAGATAAACCTCCAAGCCTCTCTGTTGTCCTTGAGACTTTGAGGCATACCTTGACAGATTACCAGAACAAGCTGGAAGACTCATCTAATGAGGTAACACTTGCACTGTTTGGCTCCACATGTATAGCCTTCGGCCTGCAACAGTACGTAGTCATCCCTTGTTACAGAGGTCAGAAGACTAGGAACGCTGAGTTGACAGCTTCATGTATACCAAAAAGAAATAATCTCTGTCACTATGTTTCCTCTAAGCTTGCCCTACAGTAATGTTTCACTTATATTTTTTAAAAAGTTTGTTTGGTTGGGGGTTTTTTGGTTTTGGGGTTTTTTTGTTTTTGTTTTTTGAACCGTTGAACTAATTATTTTCAGCACACATACATGGAAATGTGTCTTTTCTTGTTCTTCTCTACTTAGGGCTTTAGTTGAATATACAGTAAAATACTTGAAATGTAATGTTTTTGATATCAAATATGTAAATATCAGTGCTCTTAGAGGTAAAGAAAAATGACATTTTTAAAACCTTTACTGAATTGTGATGTTAAGATTATTGGATTTTTATGTGCTATTTTGTTCTCATATAGGAGGAGTAAATGTCTGCATTATTTTTTTCAGATAGCAAAGCACAATAACACAAACATTTCAATTTAGATTTTTTTAAATAATGTAATTTTCATGAAGTCCTAGGAACTTTAATTCACTGACTGAAAAGTTTCAGCATTACATTTATTTTCTGATTTGTATTGCTAATGTGACTTGATTTAATCCTCTTAGGTTTAAAATGTTTTTAAATAAATGTGTGGTTTTAAGGAATGTAGAGGATAGTTAATCACATTTTGTTAAGGATCTGTATGCAATATCATTAGGTATATCAATGGATAAAATTGGGAAAGTACAGGAAAGCCAAATTTAATAATATAGCACAAATGTCATTTTTTCCCCTTTTCTAGGCTTTTTCTTTTGTTTGACAAATATATTGTCTAGCTAGCCATTCATAACATTAAAAAGAATATTAGCTTTGCTGTTTTTATTGGGACAAGAATACTTTCCTCTAGGACCTTTGAGAGTGTTCAAGGGACACAAAAATAAATGACCATGGAAACGATTATATTTTTGTAAACAGCAAGCACTATTAGGTCTCTGCTAACCAGTGTACTTAGTAGTTTATGAAACTCTTCTGAGACTCAGGTCTAGCAGCAGCAGAGTAACTAGGAACATATTACCCATAGCGAATTGTTATTTGGGAGGATGAATGTCACATGATCCTCAGCACAGTTGAAAAGTCGACTCAGCAGGCTTTGGCTTAGTAATACACTTCATTGTGAAACTGTGCCAGAGACAGCAGTGGGGAGACCAAGGGGTGGCTGCTAAGAAAGCAAAGAGAGTGTTCTGACAGAAAGAAGAATGAACTGTCAAGGAAAATAAATCGCAAGCAGAGCAGGACCAACTGATGACCTGCCACAAGACTTCCCAGTAGGACGGCATGTGACTGACCCTGAGGTTGTCATATGGAGCCAGGGACCACTGAATGCCCTCATGATACACAGAAAGGGCAGTGCTCTGTCCTTTTTGATTTTCCCTGCAGATGCCACTGCTTCTAGGCTTTCATGCTTTTTGTATTAGATGTGTTTTAGTAACAAAACTGTTTTTAATAATGGAGCAAAACTCAGGGATTATTGGGGCACAATCCAATAAAAATAAAATGCTTTTCTGTGCAGCACTAAGGTTTTAGGCTTATACAATCCTATTTTAAGGGGGTTTTGTTTGTTTGTTTGGAGTTTTTTGTTTTGTTTTGTTGTTTTAGTATATAGGTTTTTGACATGGCTCCACACACAGATGAACATAATTAATTATTTTGATTTACACATGTCTGGAATATGTTGATGAACCTGTAATATTTATATTGCTTTTAGTTTGCTAAATGAACCTTAAATTTAATAACTAACAATATATTTAGAGCTACTGAATGTTAATAAACTTTCCTGCAACTATATAAGCTTGAGGGATTAGGGCTGCCTGATTGAATTATGGACAAGATGGAAAAAACTTTGGTAATTTATGGAAAGTAACTACAATCAGCACCCTTTATTGACAGCCCATTTGCAAAGTGTTTATAGCTTAAGTGTATTATTGGGTTTTGATTTGCTCCCTGATGTTCAGATAGTAGCCATGTGTTCTGACATCAGTTATAGCTAGTTGTAATACCTTGAATACTTTAGAACAGGATTGTCAAACATAAGGCCCATGGACTGGATCTGGGCCATAGAGCCCAGTTATCTGGCCCCAGGGTCTTCTCCTGGGTCTGAATTGACCCAGACTGGCCCTGCGGGCAGGGCCTGGACACACCCCCACAGGCACTGCATGCAGTGTGGGTCCCAAACTTGCTGGACCAGCCATTGCATGTGGTACAGCCTCAGACCAGTTTGCAGTGCAGCAGTTGCTTTGGGATCCATGCTACATGGCACCCACCCTAGCCACTCTGGGATCCATGCTGCCCACAGATTCTGTCCCAGGCACTCTTGGATCCAGGGTGCATCCAGCATAAATCCTAGAGCAAGCAGGGACTGGAGCCAGCATAGAGAGGAGCAGGCTTTGGGTTCCATGGGCCTGTTGTCCTGATCCAGCCCACAGACTGTGTTTTTTTTTTTTTTTTAAATCAGAGAAAAACAGGGTCCCTGCTCTTGTGAGTCTTGGGGCCAGATGAGTTTTAAATCCCTTCTTTAACATTAGTCTGTCTTTGGGTACTGCTACTGTAGTTGCAGTCAATGGAGGTGCATGAGCTTCTGTTTAGAAAGAAAATACTGATAATAGGACCCCTTTTTTCTTCTTTTTCCTTTTCTTGTGAGGGGACCACTGATTTTTTTTTTTTTTCTTTTCAGTCATTTTTTTTCTCCCTGTAAGTAGCTTTCCCCAGACATTCTCCAGGACAGTAGGAATCTGCATTTTTGAAATTTTATGGCATGTTTCAAAGCTCTCATTTTTGTCAGGTGTCTGAGACTTGATAGGAAAGTTAATAATGGATTTATTTTGGAGTTATAATTAGTATTATACACATTTTTGTCATTATTGTAGTTTAATCAACAACCTTATTTACCGGAACATCTGTTAATTTGTTTAGCGTTAATGTTTGATGAGTTTCTAATAGTGTTTAATATTTTTTATAGAAAACATTAGTTTACGTTTAATTGATAATATAAAACTGTTTCAAAGTCCAATATTTTTCCATCTTTCCCAGCTAACAAAAATGAAAGCTTCTTGTGAAAAGATGACAGAAGAGCTTGATTCATTCAAACAGAAATTAGGGTCTCAAAGTCAAGACCTTGAGGTAAGTTTATGAACTTTTTAAGATTGTGTGTATTTGTTGTTCAGCTTATAACTTCAGGATAATAATTTATCTCTGTTATTTCAGAATGTCTTTGTACCACTGTTCTCTGGTGAAATGCAATATCCAACTTGCAAGTTAGCGTAAGATCATGTTGCTTCACAGGGGTTACAGTCAACAAAAGATATAAGATAACTGTTGTGAGAATTTCAGGGTTTGTATTAATTAAATAATTGTGTTTACCTGCTCTTTGAATATCCTTTTGCTCCATAATTTTTGTCACTGTCAGCATCTTTGTCCTCAGTTTTTAGTTTTCTGTCTTTTTCTCTGTGCCTAAAATATGTATATTTTTCTATCTCGAGAAATGAATATTAATCTATTTATTAAAATATATTTTAATTCACTTTTTTATGCGCTTGTCAGAATACTTGCTTCAGAATGAAATTCTTTAGTGAGACTGGGGAAAATATAGTGCTTCAAGGACATTTAAATAAAAGGGGAAGAATGCATTAGTTCTATAACTACCTTGAGGAAGCATGGAGCGTGCTAAAAAGCCAGGTGGCTGTGGTGGTGCCAGGAGAAAATGTAGTCATATATTTAAAAATGCATATTGACCTCTTTTGAAAAAAATATTGAATGTTTTATCTGCAGAACAGTGAAGTTGGAGTTGCAATATGAAATGTGCAGAATGTAGTAGAGAGAATTTTAGTGAGAATATGACCATTATGCCCAGTTTCTGTGTACAATATCTCCAAGCATTATATAGCACCTATCTTTTGAAGAAATCTGTTTTCTAAAATTACTGTCAGTAAAACATTGCTGATCACTTATCCAGATGCCTTTGGTGCATATCTTGAGTTCTGATTTTATAGTAGCCTTTTCACATGACGAGTCAGGTGTTTTAGTTTTTGTTTGGGCTGATGCATCATTTTTGTAATGTGACATGTCTGGTCCCATCAGCCACCAAGGGTATATATAGCTCAGGCGGTAAGAGGGATGAGGTGAAGCACAGTGCTCGGTCACTATTAAACTTGTTCTACTGATTTGCAGTGTGTTTGTACTACTGCTAAGTTAGTGTGTGGCCACTCCCAAGGATTCTTATATTGGTACCCTATAAACATTCATTCAATTGTAGTAATTACACCTTCCAGCTTCTCATCTGAACTTGTCTTGCTAATTGATATAGATTCAGAACACTTGAAACTCTCTCTTAAAAGTAGGTCTTGTGGCTGAAGTAAAACATTCTTAAAATTATATAGCTGTCATGTTAGATGAGTGGGCTCTCCATGATAAAGTTAGTTTACCAGCTATTTTTATTATATTAGGCACAATAAATGTTACTTTGCAACAAACCAGTTTCTGACTTCACTTATGTTGGTTTAAATCTTAAATAGTTCATGTGAAATGGACACTGAGCTGCCTGGACCAGTATTTATTTATGGAAGAGGTTGCTTACAGAAGGATGCCTTATTCTTCAATTTGCATATTTTATTAGGAAGTATTTTAGTGATGAATACGTGGTAAGCAGCTGATACTTGACACTTGAACATGATTTTATAATTTAAATTCTGTAGGCAAACATTTCAACTTAATATTCATTGTTTCCAGTATTGATTTGTTCTGGTCATTTGAAATTAGTGGTCAGTCGAGGGGTCAGAGTAACAGTCCTAGACACAAAGCATGTGTGCCCTTTCTTAGCTTGTAGTCTATCTCTTGGAATAAGAGGCATGATTCATTCATTCCTTCGCTTCTCTGCTGAGATTTGATACCACTTAGTGATGTTTTATATAAATTCCATTTTTATTGAAATGTCTGTCCACTGGATATTAGAGTGAGACTACCGGATTGATTTTACTTAGACCACTAAAAAGAGCCCTTCAGTGATAGCAGCTCTTGGTTGCTGCCAGTCCTCGATTAGATTGAAGCAGTGACTTATAGGGCTAGGGACAAACATTCAAAAAGCCCAAGCCTGAATTGATTCAATATTTGCAGGTTAGTCTAACCGATAGAGATTGAACCATTTTGCAAGTGGATAGATCAGGGGCAGGCAAAATACGGCCCTTGAGCTGGGCCCATGGAGCCTGTAAAAATTTAGTAAATTAATATTTATTTGTCCCTAGTTCCCTGTCAAAGCTGACAGGAACCAGGGGCAGTAGGACCCAGAGGGAGCCCTCAGCAGGCTTGCAGGCTTGAGCAGCCCAGCCCTGCCCACCCCCAGCCAGTTCCCTGCTTTCCTGCCCCCGCCCTGCTCCAGCACCATGCGGCTGTGGCTCCCAGCTGCATCCACAGAGCACGGGACTGTGCTGGTAAGTGCGGGGCGGGCGTGCATGAATGTGTGTGCGTGCATGGTTGCATGCATGTGTCTGCAGGCATGGGGGCAGAGTGTGAGTGTGTGTGTGTGTGTTCATGGGTGACCCACACACACCCCACCATACACATGTACCCATACCTCCCCTCACATTGCCATACACAAACCCCAGCCACTCTTCCCCCATGCCCACCCACACCCACATAGCCACACACACACCCACAGCCCCACAAACCTATAAACACCCACCACAATATACAAGAGTAAGACTTCATATCAAGCTATTGTGCAGTCACCTCTGTGTACACTACGCAAACGCATATAAATCAAGACAAAAATATTTTGTTGTAAATGAATGTTGTAGAAGTTTGCTTTTTAGAATACAGTTTGATATTTTTCTGGTTCCAAGATGGCAAAACCCCTTGCTGAAAGGAGTACTTACGGGGGAAGGGGAGGGACTTCTGGTGACAAAGGTCAGGGCTTAGGGGCGGGATTTCCAGCCACAAGATGGCAACCAGGGGGCGGGGCACCTGTTAAGGGGCAGGGCTACCCATGTAGCGCGCGACAGCTTGCCAGAACTTAGTAAACAGCCCTCCATCCAAAATAATTGCCCACCCCTGGGGTAGATGTTTACTTTTCATTCCAGAAATGCAGGCACATGCCTGCAGTGACTCAAGCCAGAAGCCTGGGGGCACTAGAGCACCCCTTCCCTTCCACAGGGAAGCTGAGCTGGTGGGGGGGGGGG